ACGTGTCTGTGTCTCTCTGTCTCCGTGTCTCTCCGTGTATCCTCAGCTCCGTTCTCGGGGTGAGCACCACAGCGTTCATAGCCGGACAGCGCTCCCAGCTAATCTCTCTCCCTCCCTCCCTCTCTGCTCTTTCTCTCTCTCCCCTTCCACGCTCGCCTCTCTCCCTCTCTCCCATCCGTATCCTTCTCCCCAGTCTCTATCCACGTCTTCTCCTCTCTCTCTCTCCTTGGTTTTTTACGATCACAGGAAACAAGAAGATGCTCGGTGTAGTCGTTCATCATTTCGTTCTTTTAATGCTTTGCTTTATGTAACCCCCCCCCCCCTTTTAAATGAAAGACTCAACAAAATAATGTTTTTCTTTTTTGCTCTCCTTACCCCTTCACTCTCTCTCTACCCCCCTCTCTACCCCCCCTCTCTCTCTATCCCCCCTCTCTACCCCCCCTCTCTCTCTACCCCTCTCTCTACCCCCCCTCTCTCTCTACCCCCCTCTCTGCCCCTCCTCTCTCTCTACCCCCCCCCTCTCTACCCCCCTCTCTACCCCCTCTCTCTCTAGTCCCCTCTCTACCCCCCCTCTCTCTACCCCCCTCTCTACCCCCCTCTCTCTCTACCCCCCTCTCTGCCCCCCTCTCTCTCTACCCTCCTCTCTCTCTACCACCCTCTCTCTCTCTACCCCCCTCTCTACCCCCCTCTCTCCACCCCCCTCTCTCTCTACCCCCCTATCTCTCTACCCCCCTCTCTCTACCCCCCTCTCTCTCTACCCCCCTCTCTGCCCCTCCTCTCTCTCTCTACCCCCTCTCTACCCCCCTCTCTCTCTACCCCCCTCTCTACCCCCCCCTCTCTCTCTCTACCCCCTCTCTACCCCCCCTCTCTCTCTACCCCCCTCTCTGCCCCCCCTCTCTCTCTACCCCCCTCTCTACCCCCCCCTCTCTCTACCCCCCTCTCTACCCCCCTCTCTCTCTACCCCCTCTCTACCCCCCCTCTCTCTCTACCCCCCTCTCTACCCCCCTCTCTCTCTACCCCCCTCTCTGCCCCCCCTCTCTCTCTACCCCCTCTCTCTCTACCCCCCTCTCTACCCCCCTCTCTCTACCCCCCTCTCTCTCTACCCCCCTCTCTCTCTACCCCCTCTCTCTCTACCCCCTCTCTCTCTACCCCCCTCTCTGCCACTCCTCTCTCTCTCTACCCCCTCTCTACCCCCCCCCCTTCTCTCTACCCCCCTCTCTACCCCCCTCTCTCTCTCTACCCCCTCTCTACCCCCCCTCTCTCTCTCTACCCCCCTCTCTACCCCCCCTCTCTCTCTACCCCCCTCTCTCTCTACCCCCCTCTCTACCCCCCTCTCTCTACCCCCCTCTCTCTCTACCCCCCTCTCTCTCTACCCCCCTCTCTCTCTACCCCCCTCTCTACCCCCCCTCTCTCTCTACCCCCTCTCTCTACCCCCCCTCTCTCTCTACCCCCTCTCTACCCCCCTCTCTCTACCCCCCTCTCTCTCTACCCCCCTCTCTACCCCCCCTCTCTCTCTACCCCCCTCTCTACCCCCCCTCTCTCTACCCCCTCTCTCCACACTCTATGTCTATGATCACTGTTATCCCTATGATCGCTGTTACATTGCATTTATGGCTTCATTTTGGTGATTTCGAAAACGTTTTTTGGTTTGGCCGTGTTTTTTGTCTATTGTAGTACGGAGTTAGACTGATGGCCTTAATCTTAGTTGCCTTGTGGTTGTTGTTGTTGTTTGACTTGCATCCCACTGGGATTTTTGCACACAGCGTTGGTGTACGGTGCTTTTTCTGGATTTTTTTTGGATTTTTTTCCTGGATTTTCTGTTTGCACAAAGTCACACATAGTCACTTTAAGATGTTTTTCTTGTTCCTGTTTTTTGTTTGTTGCGGTTGCACCCGATTCAAGAGCCGAACGGCTCACGGGGCTATACCAACATAAATTGAACTATGTCTATGTCTAACTATGTCTATGTTCCCCCTGTTTTCTATGCATTTTCGTTTCTCCTCTCTCGTTTGTTTACGATCAGAGGAAACAAGAAGATGCTCGGTGTAGTCGGCACTTTGCTTCGTTCATCATTTCGTTTAAAAAAAAATTGTTAATGCTTTGCTTTATGTAACCTCCCCCCCTTTTAAATGAAAGACCCAACAAAATATATATATATCACTTCCCTCTAAACCCCTCCGAGCTCTCCCCCCTTATCCCACCCTCTCTCTCCTCCTCCTCTTCCACTCCTCTCTCTCTCTCCCTCCCATCTCTCTCCATAAACCCACCGAGAGACACCAGACACAGGACTTGAACGTCACATTCTCGGCAGTGCTGGCTTACTCGTCTCCGACACGGCCACCAGGAACCCCCCTGAGACAAGAGAATCCCAGAGTGAGGTCTCGAACGATTTGGTCGATTTCAAATCGATCAATCGCAATTTGAAACAACGCTGATTAGCAAATCGCAAAGGCCGCGATTTTTTGTTGTTGCGATTTTAAAAGTCCCATTACTTTCTTAT